GCTGGTATCTCGAGTATTCGGTAGAGGAAAAGTGGAAGAGAGCAAAAGAGAAGAGAAATAGAGGCGGCGAAAGCACTCCAGACGCAATGAGTCGAATGTTGGCGCTGAAACGGCGACGAAGTTGGCGCTCACGATTCTCCGGTGTTACTTCGAGATCCCTCGAGCTCACCTCTCTCAGACCCCTTCTTGTACCTTAACCCAATATACCGTCTTTTTCTAGTTTGTCTCATCCCTGTATTGTCACTTCGATTCCATTCTTCGGCAATGTAACACGAAGGCACGGGAGGCTGCGATCGTGGAATCACAATTCCAAGTGTCCTATGGCCTCCTCGGGCTTGTTCATTTTATAATAGAGCGAAGATCGACTTTTGTAGGGCTTAGATGCCATTGTGCACCACCTTCTATACGATGTTTGTAACAAATGTGAATGGAAGGCTTAAAGATGGTCTAAAATTTATCTACGCTTTATGATCTTTCAGATTTTATCTTTTCAATAGAAGCTTCTATTGTTCTATCCTCGTCTTTACTATTAAGATATTTGACGATTTATTACGCGATATTTATTTATGCCTTAAATACAACTTAATTATATTATGTATTTATTCTTAATTCATTTCTTAAGTGATAGAGCAATGATGAATAATTTTATTAAAATTGATGATCCTAAATTAATATTAGAGTATTCAAGAAGATATAGCCTATACATATGTACAATATAATAAGATAATGAAAAATATAATCTTAAATTCTTCAAACAATGTATATATATATATATATATATATATGTATATATATTGATAGCAATCGAACTTCGCAGATTTTACAATATTAAATTATTTATATGTTATGATAACGACTACAAAGTTATGTATCAATGGTGTGGTAACAGTATATCAATGATATATGATTTGTCTAATATTTGATCCATCGTTGATTGAAAATTGATGTTTATTGGCGTCGTATTTGTCAATCGTAGTGTATTGTTAGAATTTAGCAGGTGTATAGCGATCGACACAAGTGCAGGTGTATTTAAGTGATTTAAGTGTTTACGCACAAAGAGGACTTTATACCACTGTATAAATGTACATCGCTTTGCATTAAATTTTACTAAAATATAAACACGTATGGGTTTATTTACTATGAAGATAAACCAATATTTCTCACGATATGTAATTATTTGTGATTTATGATACATTATAATGTTTAATATTTTTCTTGAATGATTAAGTGGGAATTTTAATATAGAAAATAAATAATTAATAATGATGCAGTAATGATGAAATAAAGTTATATTTGAGTTCAAAGTACTCATTGCAGTAAGGGCAAAGCCATCGGTTAAAATTCAAATTGGTTGTTAACTATCGAGCAAAAATGAAAAGTTGAGAGTTATCAACACATACTGTGCGGGTAATAACGTGATGTTGTGTAGATCGAACAAATTTACTATACATAATTCAATAGTTACACCCATACATTGTACAACATTTTATCGATAAAATTATTTATATCCATCAGCTAGTTTAGAAGCGGAAAATTTAATGCCTCACATTTTTTTGTTAACTTACGTTATTTTTTTATTAGACTTTCAAATTTAAAATAAATATTATAATTTAAAAAATTTAGAGCAACATCTTTTATTAAAAGCAAGGAATTTGAAAATTTTGAGTTCGAAAGAATTCATGATGAATGCAGGTACAACGAATAATTACGATAGTTAAAAAAAATTGTTTACTACTATTATTATACTATACAAAAAAAAAAAAAAAAAACAAGAATTGCATTCGCAAAGATTACATACTAATTTCTAAATTACTTCATGTACTGATGTCATGTAGAATTGATATTAAATATACAAATTTAAGACATTATTATGAATATTAATAAGTATATTTTGTTAAGTATGATAATATTTTAAAACGGAAAACCTTACTGAAATATTAATTCAAGTATTAATTAACGTTTAAGCAAATAGCCGAACATTTATATTGTTTTTATCTTAACTAAGTTTTTTTATGTCAAGCTTTTAATTTCTTACCTAAATATAAATTTCTGTTTTTTTTCTATTATATAAGAAAAAAACTAAACATCCGCATATGAATAAGAATATTTCATTAACCATTTTAATTAAGTAATATAATCAATATTGATCGAAAATTTAGAATTCTACACACCAGTATTATTATGAATTATTCTGTTTTATATAATTTCAAGAAATTATATAAAATTTCGTCAAGAAATAGAATTTTATTTATTCATACTAATTATTAAATAAATTGTGAAAATCGACCATTAATCTTTGTTTCAAACAGATAAAATCAAGTTACATCTGCGTTTATCTTACGTTTATCGTGAAATTGCTTTAAACTTCTAACATTGGCCGATGGACGAAGTGTGTTATTATTGATTTACGATAAATTTCTATTATAAGTTGTGTAAAAAATGACTAAAATATTATTACAATTATCGATCGAATTGTTTTTTAGTTTAGTGTATTTTCTTCATGTGTCTCGAACTTTTTTTATTTTTAAATGTTTTATATGTGAAGTGATTGAAGTGGTAGTGCTATAACTATTCCAGTATTACAGCATTAAAATCTTCTTTATAAATTTTCGATTATAACAATATTGCATTATTATTTATTCTGTTTTTTTTCCTTCATAGATTTTAATAAGATTTAAGTTATTTATATTCATACAGGTTTAGCCACAGCTACAGTAAAATGTATATTTAGTATCTTATTTAGTATATTATAAGTATGTTTAGTAGGGTAAGGATCAAGTTTGAATTGTAAATAGAAAAACAATATAGAAAAAAGATTAGTATTTTTTGTAACAATAATTCATTGAGTATAACTAACGTTAAATATTGTAAATGAATTATTTTACAAGCTTTTCGTCTTTCGTTGCAATTGCGGAAGTTCTTTAGTGTTATTTTCAGTGAGCTAGTCTACTCAATATACGTGCTGCTTGTAATAAATAACTGCATTCTAGTTGTATTTCTATACAAATTTTAACCATGTAATATCACCCAAATTCAAGGATCAAAGTATTTACGTATTTACATGATATCCAATATGAAGGTCCATAGTAAGCATTTCTTAATAACAAACTGACATTAGATAGTAAACTGATTATTTCTCCTCCATTCTTTTTCTTTTCTCTTTTATAGTTCGGAGCTGAGTAAACATCTATAAATGTATGCAAGCTATAATTAGGCGCTTGGGAAAATACAGACAAAAATGTTGAATTTATAATTATCATTATTATTAATTACATCTTTTATTTGCACCCGAGTTTCTAACAACTACCGAACAGATTCATGTTAAAAAATAAAGGTTTAGGTTTACGTTTTCGGCTCCATTAAATAACAATGTCATCGCAAAACTCTCGACGAATAAAAAAATTTACATAAATTATATAAGATTTCAGATTTCGAAGTTTTTCAGATTAATGCTATGTATATCTTTTTTTTTTTTTTTTTTTTTTTTTTTTTTTTTTTTTTTTTTTTTTTTTTTTTTTAATGCAAAGATATCTTGATTTTATATTTTTGAAACGATAAGGAGGAAAATAGGAAAAATAAGTGAGCTATAAAAGTAGACTTCGAGACACGAATATAAAGTAGTTTGTTACCCAAGTTGCGGTCAATCTGGATAAAGAAAGTCGCAAGATACCATTATCCATAGTTATGTAGACGCCGTGACGCCCGATAAGAACGAAGCAGAAACAGAGTCGTTCAAGCCAGTTCTATCTCGAGGACTAGCAACTAAGCTGGCTCTCGAATTCCCATGGTAAAAAGGATAAAGAGACTCTAAAAATTGTCCCGAGTCATGCTAGGTCGTAACTAGTCCGTCAACAGCTACAACACTAGTAATAAAATTTATATCGAACGTTACTACTACTAAAATTCGTTACTCATACTCAACTTTTGAACGTATTTTTAAGTGGAAAAGTACTTAACAAAGAAACCAATTGCGATTAACCTATTGCTTGAGATCCTTGTAGTCAATATCACATGCAAATTATGTGATTTGATTGAAAAAGCAAGAATTATGAAATACAAGTAAAAGTACGAAATAAAATTCGAAAATTGTTCATTTATAAGTTTAAAGTTCAGATATGTAAATAACTTAATTATGTAGTTTGTATATTATTTCACTTTGATTGGGTAAAAAATGCTCTTTTTGAGTCAAAAGAAAATGAGTTTTTGAAAAGAAAAAATTTTACTTCAATCTAGTGAATTTAGATTTAGTTGATAAAATTTCTTTCACTCACATGAAAGGCTCATCAATTCCAAATATCATATTTTCGCTTTTTCAAGCTTATTTACTTTTCCAAATAACTAAAAATATTTTAACTATCGAGTTATTCGTATAACGCAAAAATATAATACCATTATCATTATTATATATATATATATATATATATATATATATATATATATTTAATTATAGTTATTGCTATTATTATTGCTGTTGTTGTTATTATCGTTGTTGTGGTTGTCGTTGCAGTTTTTATTGACATGTAGTAAGTAGACCATTCGTAGGCAATTTTGTTGCAGCTCAATAAACTCAATTTTCATTGTATAAATCAAATAATTGAGATACGTATAAAATAAATGAGCGACATGAAAAAATCGGGTAAAATTACATGAAGTGGAACGATGGGTTCGGTGACATTCTTCCATATGTCAGTACAACTACAGCAGTCACTTGCAAAATTCAACAATTGTGAAAAATGCTTGGAAAGATAAAGACGCATCGAGAGGAATAAATTTTCAATTTTAAAGCTTGCGAGTAGCGGGAGAGTCGGACATATACGCAAAAATGGTTGAAGGTCCAATAACGATAAAAATCCACTAAAACTTGAGCATCCATAAAAACGCAGACTGCGTGAAATGCAATACTTGAGAGAGAGAGAGAGAGAGAGAGAGGGGGGGGAGAATAAACGCTCATCCTGCCGAGTGGGCGCACACACTAATTCCACTTTAACGGCTCGTTTCAGGGAGGTCTGGCCGGAGAACGACAGTTTTGGGAAAGCCGACATGGCCGTCGAGGAGGAGTTCCTTGTTCTGCGCGAGATCTTCCTAGCTGATCTCGGCGGTAAGTACGACATACAATGGATATGTGCCTGCACATGGCATTGTGTAAAAAATTCATCGTATCAATCTCGTAAAAAGCTCGCGCCAAAAATGCTACATTTAATGCGGCGTAAGCGTAGACGGGCTTCGTATGACAAGTGGCCTTGAAACTTTGTCGGTACCGAGAACTTTACTAATTCAGACAATTTTGGGAATAGTATAAAGAAAATGACTCGCCTGCTATTTGTATACGAGCAATTTAGGATTGCAAATGAATATTTTTTTATTTCTCCCGCATTTCCTTTCACGTGATGTGAATTTATTCGACGAAAATTATTAATTTTCGAGGACGGTCGGCATCGCTTTTTTTTTTTTTTTTTTTTTTTTTTTATATCGCATTCGTATGAAAATGTTACATTTTGGCTTGTCGAAATAAATGATAGATGAAAGCAGGATGAAATTTTTTAACACGGAACGACTCGATTGCAGTTAACTATTTATGTGTAATTCATGAATACGGAGTCGTTGTGTATTTGCAATAAACGGAGACAGTTATATTTTCCCGATTGTGAGATAATAGCTCGAGTAATAACGCTCACAATGGCTTTTTCTTTTTATAAATCTCAAGCCTTATCGTTTATTCGTAATATATTTTGAAAATAACAATTATAACATTGTACTTTTAATATAAAATAAGTATGATATACGATCTTTTCAGTATACTATTAAAATTGTATACTATTTGTAGACTATTAAAATAACATTTATGTTTCTTACTCATTGAATAATTCAACAACGTATGCGAAAGCAAAATAGACTTTTTTTTTTATTTACCAAGATTTTTTGCAAATTTATAGATAATTATCAGAATATTCCGAAAGCCAAAATGAAACCTATTAAGTATTATAGAAATAAATATTTTCTAATGTAGCCGTCGCTTACCTCCGATTAGTTTAGAGAGAGAGAGAGAGAGAGAGAGAGAGAGAGAGAGAGAGAAATGAAGATTTTATAATAGACAAAAACACACTACATTTATATAAACAAAATATACTTTTTATCCAATGGATTTCTACAGTTTTTATCATTCTGTATATTTTGTACATTCTGTATATCTGCATATTCTGTATATTTCAAAAAAGCATCATTTCAACGCAGCTTTTTAACAAAGTAACGCAACGTATTTTACTCCAATAATATATCAATAATATTACTCTTTGTATTATTGCTAGACGAATTACAAAATTAGAAACAACTACTAACATTGTCTGTATAATTTAAAATTATGGCTGAACTAAAGAAGTTGTTTCCTAGTTGTTACGTTATACCGTGTATATAATATGGTACTTTATTACACAACGTCTACGGCGCGGAGGGAGTTTGTCTTGGAAGGTTGTTGAACAACGTTAAGTGAGCCGTAACAAGATACAGATAATAAATCCGAATCTCTCCATTGGAATATCGTCTCTCCCCTTTAAAGAATTAAAATAATTTACATTGTAACTAGGCTGGAGATGTTGGCGATTAGTTGGCAAAATAGGTGCGTAGAATGAAATACACTCTTCGTCATCCCTAGGTCGCGAATTATTTAAAGAAAAACAACACAAGGGAGTCGACGAGCGATACGCACGACAGTCTTTAAGTTCAATTTTTCTCGGGAGCACTTAAAATGTAATTGGCGCCTGCGATCGGCAAAGGTACGCACGCGCGACCCATCGAGAGCACTGGAGGGCTATTACGGGCTTTTTTTTTTTTTTTCTGACACCTTCGAGTAATCGTAATCGCTACCGACCCTCGCCGCCACCTTCTTATACCCGAGGAGCATCCACCCGACTTAAAAATATAAATATGCATGAACCACTATTACCATCGTCTTACATACCTACAACCCGCCGCGTATGCGGTATCGTCAGTAGCCGCCGATTAAATAAATAATGCGAACGTATATAAGGTGCTTATAGGTGACAGTCACTCGTTACTCTTGCGAGACACGCGAATTAAGTTTATCGATGGCAGAACTATCGAGGTGGTGACTCGTACGCGTGAACTTTCTGTTTCCCTTTCTATACACTATTCAAATGCTAAACGGTAGTGGTCTAAGGGCTTTATAAATACCGGTATGCAATATCGAATTGTCTTAATACTTTTGGTCCTTTATTATTATTATTATTATTATTATTATTATTATTATTATTATTATTACTATTACTATTATTATTATTATTATTATTATGTTACTTTTTCTAAAGAATGTAATTAAGTTGTTCGTAGCCGTTTGTGCAGAATGAAAAATAGCGAAACAGTGAGTTTGAGCAATCCTCGAGCACAAGATCAAATAGGGCTCAATTTTTTTTATTTATTACTTGTAAATATTTTAGAATTTTGTAACAAATAAATTTTTTAAGACCTACTGAAAAATGATTTGAATTTTAATTTATTTCTATGAGAAACCGAAGTCGGTACGTACATGGAATTAAAGGAATTTTTCATTAAAGATAACATAATTAAAATTATATTATTTAAATTCAAACATAAGATTTCATTGACTTATAATATATATATATATATATATATATATTACTATATTACTATATTACTATATTATCATAGTTCTAAAATCGAGAAATTAATGCTTTCTTCTTGAAATAATATCAATCCTAGTTGTCTTAGGGTATTTTTATAATGAATTAATTTACTTTTTGTTACTGAAAATCTATGTATACAAAAGTAACATATCCACTTTAATATATATAAAAATATAGTGCATGTTATAGTATAATTATAGATTATAATCATAATTTATATCTAAATTCGGGATTTAACCTGCTTTTATAGAAATTTATTATTTTTTGCATTATTATGATTAATTTTTTTTATGCTATAAGAAAGTTTGCAAACAATTGCTCATATGAAATTAAAAGTAATTTATTGTAATAATTGGCATTATCTCGTTTTAAATCGCTATAATTTTTATACATGCATATAGTATCGTGCAGATTATAATTACATAGAAGTGTTATCAATATTCAAGCACAATGTTATGTTTCATCCTGGTTTATTCAAATGATAGATCAAGAATATGGTTGGTTTTAAAGTACTTTATAGTAAACTATATTTTGAAGACTGGAAATTCTGCTCTGGTATTTGGAGCATAATTTAATCTTTTTACAGTAGGAACTTATTCAATTAGTATACATTTTTTAATTGAAATTGTTTCAGTATTGAGAAGTCTATTTGATTCTTCCAGTCTATTATGTCTTGATTTATGAAAAAAAATTTAATAAAATCAATTATAATTTAAAATTTTCTCAAATTATGTTTTCCATTGAAAAATTTAGCATTTAACAAAAATAATAAATATAAATGGTAAAATTTGAAATTTGATTTCAAATTAAATAGATTTTTTATTATGCAGTTACTATTAACGAACGAAAAATAATGTTTTATTAATTTTGTGATCATTTATAGTAATAACTTTTTAAATGTTATAGCTTCTAAGCGTATAAAGTCTATGATTGACTGACGGAATGTACAAATTTTATATTGATAATATTTGATCTTTATAAATATCAAATTACAATTTCATATAAATATAATTTACATAGATAAGATAAGAATCGATGAGACGATTATTTAATAATTATTATATATTTATAATTATATAATTATATCGTAATTGATCGAAAATTTCATAATGTTTATATTCTATATTCAGTTTTAATGATTAGAGCGCGTAACGAAGGTTTGGTGAAAAATTATTCGATTCCCCATTCGGAATAAGATATACAAATATTCTAAATAAGTTTTCTTAATATTAATTTATTTATGAGTTTATTGAAACGTCCTTCGTGTATTACGTGAATCCATACTTTAAAGATTTTAAGTGATTATATATGTTATGTTTCAGATTAACAGAATTTACAAACAGTATAATTAATTTTTTTTTCATTTAATGTTTACAAAAATTGATTAAATGAAAAAAGTATAACTAAAATACTAACATTTTTTACGAAAATTCTAGAAATTTAAGATTTTTTACACTTTATTAAATAAAAACAAACAGATAGAGAATAAAAGAGAAAATAGGTAGAAAAGAGAGAGAGAGAGAGAGAGAGAGAGAGAGAGAGCGAAGTAGTACGAACAGAAAGAATGCAGGAGAGAAAATTTATGGTGGTGAAAATACAGTCGAATGCGTAATAATTTAAATAAAAAAAATTATAAACTTGAAATTTAGCTTTTATATTTAATAGCTTTTTATAGCGCACAATTAGAAAGTTTTTCCTTGATAATATTTCAGATTTTTTTATACTCGGCAGGATTAAAGCAATGAGAAAATTTACATTTTCTAATTATTATGATATTCAAAAGATGTTTGAAGTTTATCCAATTGAGATTTTAAAATGTTTAGTCTCCTACCTTCTGATTTTATTTATTATTAATTTACATTTATTAAATAGTCTTTTTATTTCAACCTATATATAATTTGACAATTACATATATATATATATATACATGAATAATTTTTTGGGTATTTTTACAGATTCATAAATATATGCAAAGTACTGATTTGTTAAAATACATATTTTCGAATAAGGAAGTAATCCGAATTTAGAAAAATTTCGGCATTGATAAGTCATGTTACTTAATTGAAAAATAAAAATTACAATTTCTTACTTGCTATTAATAATATTTTTACTTATACAAAATTTAAGTCGTTTATATTAGAGTCAAATATTGACAGTTACATTTGTAACTTAAAATGAAATATAAATTTATACCAGATCTTGGTTTAATACATGCTCTCAAGGTATATTTATAAAATAATCTTGTTTGTACTGTAACGAAGAAGCGTACTTTGTTGACTTTCTTTATTCAACAATTTGAATTTTTCTTAACAGTGGTGGAATTTGTAACTGTGTGGTTTTAATACACAGCACTAATAAAGCTACCGATATTTCAACTAAGCAATTTTTCTGCATATTAAGTATCAAAATCTAACTATAAGACTAAAAATTTTTACCAAAC